AGAAACGCCTGGCCAGTGCATCGGCCTCAGCTGCCCCACGCCTGCAACATTCGTGCTTCCCGGCTCTGAGTGCTCAGCCCCTCCAAGTTCATGTGCAGCCCCTCCATCCATTTCTTCCAAGGCAGAACGGATATTAATCCCAAAGCAACACCCAGCCCTCAGGTAGAGAGCACCAGCTCTGTGTTGGCTGTATTTTATTGGCTATATTCTGCTCATTTAACTCATAAAGAGCTTCACATGCCGGTGAGTGGAATTCACATACCTGAGTAAGGTAAGCAGCATTTGACCCAGTATTTGTGAAGTGGATTGAATGTGAGAATGATAATAATATGTTTACAATGTAAAGAATTTTTTTTCCTCCTGATAACAGGAGGAAATGCTTTCAGATTCATACCAGTGGCAGTTGTCCTAACCTATCTCTTTACATTTTTAATCTTAAAAATCCTCTTACAAGTTCTGCAGAAAACCACTTCTTCCTTGACAGGATTTAGTTAATTGGATCTAACTTTGAAGTGACTGTGCTTTGAGCAAGGGTGTGCTGGCCTTCTGTGGGTCCTTCCAACCTCAAGGTTTCTCTGATCCTAATTCACAGGTGAGCTCTGTTACCTCAGGGGACAATATCCAGTAGATGTCCACCAAGCCTCTGGCACAAACCTGTAGAACTAGATTCCACATACATGTAAAGGCAACTTCTACTTCATAAAATACCTGGAAGACGGAGTTTCTTCTTATCTTTTCTGTGCTGGCAAAGTGATTAGTTCTTTCCCCCAAGACCCAATTATAGTTCCCACTTCTGCCTTCGAGCATACATGCCCTTCTGTGAAGATAGCCTTACCTACTGTGTTCTAGGCTCTTTTTGGCCAAAGGGGTCCATGGAGAAGGAGAGGGGGCTACTGTAGGCATAGAAGGAAGGCATTGCTTGTAATAAGACTGTGTTTAAGACTGTTTACTACTTATCAGTTTAAGTGGCCAATGCATAAAATGCATGAAAACCCTTCAGCACAGGACAGGGCATCAGGCGTCCTTCATGCTACCCATGTCACCCCAGGGAGCACACAGTCCCACAGGCTAGCATCAGGCCATTCTACGCTTAGACCTTCATGGCTGTATCCTTTCCCTTATCCTGCTGGAGGTGCTGGATCTCATGTGAGGTGCATAATTCTCCCCAGGCACCACGTAGACGGGTCAGGTAGCTTTACCATGTGCTAGATGTCTAAAAAGAAGATGCTTCACCTTTCAGGGCAGTAGCACCTGCATCCCTTGTCTGGAACTAGAACTTGACAAAAGCGCAAGCCATAGGCACCGACTTAGCTGAGACTCAGGATGTGGCAGTGAGGCCTCTTCCATAGATGTGTCCGGCCATATCCAGAGCTGTACTGAGGCCTCCAGCACATGCTTCAGACCACTGCAATGTGTTTGTGAGCAACCTTTCTACTGATGCAGCATAATATCCGCTAGAGTGATTCATTCTCCAAGTCAAAACACTGCTCCTTACCTTTCTCTCAGTGGGTGGGTTTAGATCTGGTAGTGGATCCAAACTTTACAATAAAATCATTCTAAACTACATAACTATATATATGTATGTAAATATATGGCTGTCAATATGGTTATATACACATATACATGCACATGCACACACTTATAAACGCACACGCGCATATGTATGTATAAATATGAAAGTGGCCATACATAGCAGGGCTGCTTTTCAAAGGTTTTTCCCTTGGACCAAATGATAGCATTCTTCTAACTGGGGAATTGGCACACAGTTGTATGCTAGTTCAGTCTTACAGATGTCATCCATTGCTTCTGAACATGTATGTGGAAGACAGCCTTTACAATCTCCTCCTGTAATCAGCTCTCAGGAGCGCAGACACTGAATTTATGAAAGATACAAGTAGTGTATACTGAACCAATGCAGACATCAGAGTCTGAAATGCTGCCTATACCTGGTCTGTGCCAATATAGCTGTTATAAATACCAATGTGTGTAATAATCTGAACAAGATTCTCAGTCAAAATCTGACAGTACGGCAAAATAAAGCACAGGGAAAGCCAATTCTGTGATTCCTTTCTTGATAAGTGCTTAGAACTCATCAATGAAAATTAGGACCTATTAATCCTATACACATTCCTTGCAGTTTTTAATTACAGACATTGAAACTAATGGATACAGTGCAAGGCTGCAAGCAAGGACACTGGGTATAAAATTAAATTTGTAGTAATATACTTTTGTTTTCTCAAATGTCCTTGAAAAATGCAAACAAAACTGTTTGGCACCACCAAGGCAAGTCAAATATTTTCCTCAGTTGGCAAAGTTCTCTTCTAAGAAATCCTTCTTTGTTTGCCAATAGACAATATTAATGACAAGGACTGGACCTGAAGGGAATTAATGCACAAAAACTGCATTAAAGTTACATTAAGGGGTGCATTGTGAAGTCTGATTTATTTTAGATCCATGAAAGCAAGGAAATTTATTGTCAAAGCTGTGTCTCTCGGCTGACACTCTCTATTTAACTCACCGCTGGACTGCTCTGTTACTGAAGAGCAAGGGAGGTGTAACTTCAGGCCCTTTTCTCAGTGCCTTACGGTGCTCAGGCCCCAACAAGCAAGCTGAATGCTGCCTTTAGAGATCAGAATGGAGGTCTGCCAAAACTAGTGCAGCTCCATGTGTGATATCTGATGCAAATGGCTCAAGAAGTTAACTCGCCTATCTGCACACAGTTACATCTGCTGTAATCTTTTTTTCAGCCTCAACTTTAAAAAATAATTGGTGCAGGCTGAAGAACAGTGAAAGACATTAACCTATGTGATCACAGTGCCAGCAGGAGGGCTTGGCAGAGAGCCCTGTTTGGTGTCTTTCATCCTGAGAAGCTGGAGAGGAAATCGATGAGCATCCAGTAAGTGCAGGCTGGCCACGTGCATGCGCCAGGCCAAGGAGATTTGAATGAAAGACATTGGTGCAACAACAATCTTGCTGAACAAAGTTCTCAGCTTATATACAGAATAGGAACAGAAGAGGCAAAACCAGCTCTGATTTTACCCTACGTTAGGGGCAATGCCTTGAGGGAGAAAAGCAATAGTTCAATTTCCGAGGCCCATGCAGTTCTTCTCCCTCTGATGAGAACAATGGTTTGGACCAGGATCCTTCAGAAACCCTGCACAGGCCACACAGAGGAGCACCTAGGTGGTTATGTGGTGTGCAGATCAGTCCCTAGAGAACCGCAGAACGTATGTTGCATTGTGAAGGTACTTCAGCTATATGGGAGCTGTGTTCTACGTTCGGTATAAGGATACCTTGGTTGTATTCTCAATTTATGGAATAGGTATGGAGTTGCAGATAGCATAATCGGGAATTTCAGTTTGGCGTGCTGAAGTGAATTGACTTAGATATGCCACTTTAGAGAACTGGTAGAAGAACATAAAGCCTAGCTCAATAATGACAATTGCACCTTGTGGAAATATTGGCAATGGCCTTTGGAAGAGATAATCTTAGAAATTCTGGCTCTTGGCCCAACAGAACTTCCCTTAGGTTACAGGGTGTCTTAAATGGGAGAGTTTTCCTATCACATTTCACCTAATATGTAACAGACATAAGCAAGTTGAAGGAGGTGTGATATTTGGCTAGCCATAAAGCCAAGGAGTTGCACTGTAGAAGATGAAGGGCAAAATGTGGTCCAGCGTCCTGAGGTGAGATTAGCGTCTTCTGGACTTTAGACCCTCTTACAGTTTTCACATCACTTAGGTCAACTTTTAGCATCGCATGGTTAAGCATTAAAGCCCACACACAGCTCCCTGAAGTGATTTCAGAGGTGCTGACCATTTGTCTTTCTCACTGATTCTTAGAAAACAGGGCCCCAGAGGATTAGCTGTGAGGTCCCAGATTTCCAAGCAGATGCTCACCATTGTCAGCTCTTATATTCTTGCAGAGAGGGGAAGTGATAGCTGCCTGGAAATAGGGTTAATCCCAGGAAGCATGCCAACAGGAAGTGATCCCAGGAAAAGAGCTCTTACAGACCTCACACAGAGACTTTTGTTACAGCAACTTAATTCCCAGTATCTAGATGTACAGATTGATCAGATCTCGTGTCCAGGCAGTACAGGGCCCCTGAGCCTGCTTTCTGAACAACATCACCGCTCAACTTCTTCATATGCTCCAAAGTTAAAGTGCAGTATGACCTCAAAAGACTGAATCTGTGTTCCTAAAGCAGACTCATTCTTGCAGCAGACAGTCCTGCCGCCTCCAGGCTGTTTCTCTCTCAGGCCCAGAACTGCCATCTCCCTTCTGTTATATCATCCTAGACTTAATAGCACACAAACCTGTTGACCACTAACGTGACTGGCTTCAGCCAAAAGCCAGTAATGAGTAAAATGAACACACTTTAGCTAGATGTTTGTGTCAGGCTGTTAATGTACAAGCTAATATTGAATTAAAGATTCAGTAGATAAAGATACTTCACAGTGAAATGCACACTAGTGAGTTACGGGTGGTGAGGGAGTACTGGTCCCTCCTTGAGTCAAGGAGCTGCTAATGGACCAGTCAAGTACAGGACATAACACTTGATCAGACCCAGCACCAGTTTTTGCATCTCCAAAGGGGTGCAAACACTCTAAGGATTTTCATCAGGAGGAGCATCAAACTGCCTCCTGAATAATTAGAGGCAAATAAGGGATACTTTCTTAGCTTTGATCTTGAGGGTATGTAAACTAAGGGTAGTTTTCTTTCATTTCTCCAGCATTACCTTTTCTAAACCCATACTGCCTATTTTGGAAGTTAGAAATAAACCTTTTATTTGCATTTTACATCAGTTGGTTTCAGTTAGCATGATTTTTAGAAGCTACTCTTCCCTCAAGACTGCAGCAAATCTAAAAACAGGAGATTGGGGCACCTTGAAAGTGCTGCTATGATGTAAATGCAGGTAGTCACTAAAAGAGGTACTACCTCTCACCTTCCCTGCTCTGACACATATTCCTACTGCTTCTCTTTTTTTTTTTTTTGGTCAGATTTTGCAGGCAAATTGTTGTGGAGTGTGTCAGACCAGCTTGCTGACTGAACAGAAAGCCAGTTTCCAAAATAAAAATGGGGTAAGTTTTCATCTAAATGTGGCCAGCCTTTCACAAGTGCAGTACAGTTACACTAGGGGCCTAATGTCAGCATAGTGAAACCAGTGGAGGCTTTTGGGAATAGCTAAAACCAAGGACCACAAAGGCATCCTGGCCAAATCCGAAAGCAGAAACTTAAGAGCTTCCTAACTCTGAATTTTGCTCACACTACCTACAAGACTACAAGATTATTGCTACATTTTCTAGGGACAGTTTTTAAAGATCATTTATGCTCTTACTGGAAGGTAGGAGAGATTTTCTTGTGGTATAATTTTGTTCTTAACTGGTATGAAATTTAGCAGAGGGCCAGAATAAATAGAATAAATCTCTCTCAAAAACATATAAACATTGACATTTATTTATCCAGCAGACCACAGCCAGAACCATGCTTTTATAGTCACACAGGTCAACTGTGTAAATGTATTAGACAATTCTTAAAACTCATATAAAGCACTCAATGGACTGTAATGCTTCTTTTCCACCTGTGTTTAGTGTATGAATGCAATACAATATATAAAAAATGTATAATATTCACTTATCTGCAACAGCCTATTTTCCAGAAACAACAGAAAGATTTTATTAAAAAAAAAAGGTAATGGAGCACCATGCTTTGTTTTCTTTCAGATGGTTTGAAGGCCTTTTTTATGCCTCTAATGCCAAAGGCACAAAGTTTAAATAATTATCTCATTATGCAGTTGAGCATCTCAGTGCTCATGGCTTTGGGATCTAGGCTAAAGTATCTCATCTCACAGCAGTGGTCGTGACAGTAGCCCTACAGAACAGACTCTCCACCTCCTCTTTTCTTGCTGGGTTTTCCCTAACTGTGCCAAGGGAATGATATTTCCCTGGAAAGATTAAGATCTATTTCCCACATCGCGTGGGATCACCATGATCTACACAGGAGAGCTAGCAAAGGCTTTCTGTCTCCACATTGACTCTGATCAACACCTTGCACTAACTACCCCCCCCGGCTTTTCCTTAACCGTGTGCTTAGCTACACCACACCAACAAAGCCATGGCCCCATCCGTATGGTCCCTATGGAGCAGTTCTTACCCAAAGAGGATGTTTTCAAAGAGGAAGAGTTCTACCAAAAAAATTCCTTCCAAAAACAATATAATCGGGAAATGAATCTGCTTTTTCCAGGTAATCTCTATAGCACTGGCATGGGGATGGTATACATTCACACAGACATGCATCAGGCTCCAGCTATACCATGACATGCACTTTCTCCCTGCTTCCCATAGAGAAGATACGCTGCTAGGAAATTATTCCAAGAATGAGAAAAGAAAGTGTTCTATGAGGGAACTGAACTGGTACCACTTCCACAACAGGAGTAAAACTCATATGGAAAGGGCCATCTCTGCTAGCTGATGCAGGCTTTCTTATTTAGCTTTGGTTCCATTCATATGAACCAGCAACGCATTTTCAGTTTAATCCATCACTGACTGCGTCCACCCAAACCAATTTAGTTTCCATTTCACACTTCTATAGATGTAGATTGTTAAAATGGACTCTGAATATCTTTTTCTTTTTTCAGCTCCTAGCTTGAAATTTTGAGCAGACTGTAATTGCCCAGTGACACAGAACCTGCACCTGCAAGACCCCCCAGCCTTTGGGACCAACATCTTATGGAAACATGAGAAACCACTACTTTCTGTGTTTCTGCCTTTTTACATTTAGGTTTCACTTGACTTCCACCAAAATCAATATGATTTAAGAGTTGACATCAGTGGGACCCTTCCTGAATCTTTCCCGCTCGTTGTTGGGATAAAATACAGAAACACTGAAGCAAAGTCCTACATGACAGACAGTAGGAAGTGAAGGAATAGAAGAAGAATCCTGTCCTACTGTGCTCTGAGACATACATGTCAAAATATACTCCATATAATTCTTCCAGACTTTGCTTGTTTTGATGAGAGCCTGTAAAACTGAGCTATCAGTACTACAATGGAGGTCCTTTGTAAACTAACCATTTTGATGCAGGAACTGGTGTATGCCTATCTCTAACAGTCTCTTATAGCGCGATATAGCGTGGAGAAAATGAAGCCTTGAACCGATTCTTTGCTCATTGGTGGTATTCAGTGTCATACATGCCACATAAACCAGCATTTCATATGGAAGTGAAACAAAATAAGGCCCTGGGTCAACTGCGTTATCACAAAAAAGCATTCAGGGAACTGTAATGCAGTTTCCATCCCTGTAAGCTTGCATTAGTTCCCAACCACCACAGAAATCAGAGTAGGTGAAAAGGTGGTTTAGGGATGATTTTGCCTCCTTAATTCTTCAGATGGTTCCAAGCCTGCAAGTACTTGCTGTTGCTCACTAGTGCTATGATGGTACTTTCTTACCCTGGCCAGCCTGGTCCAGCCAAGCCCTCCTTGAAGAGTGTTACAGTCCACCAGCAGCCACGGAGGAGCTCCTGAGTGATGGCATCACTTCCCGCACTTCTCTGCCTCACAGTTTCACCCCACTGAGAACTGCAATATTATTTCAGAGTCAGTTCTAGATTTAAAATCATAAACTTTTTAACTCTTAAAAATATATTTATAAACTATGTAAGAGATGGATTTCCTGTGATAGTTTCTTCACTAGGTATGTGCCAGCAAGTCAGAGAATAAATAAAAACCCACACATTTTAAACAAAGAGGGAAAAATATTATTAGAAACAAGTGAGAAATCAGCATTTTGTCAAAACTATGTTTGTTAAAAAATTGAACATTTTTTCCTGTAGACCAAATTACTTACTTTTTTTTTTGAATTGACTGGATTTACTGAGTGGCAAATACAATTCTTTTCCCATGTTTATTCTGAAAGTATTATTGCAATAACAAAAGTTCTGTGAAATCCTTGCTAAATTACAGATACCAGAGAAGAAAAATTCAGAGTTGAATTTCTTTGGCCCTACAGATAGCTTTCAGACCATCATTTAAACTTTTTCTATGCAAGAAATAGAATTTCTAATGTGTGCTTGTTATATCAGAGTTAATGGAATATATGTTCCATGGCAGATTAGATATTTTGGAATATCCCAAGGGTTATTAAGGGTTTTGGTTTTCCCCTCACTGAAGGGGCTGTGCCTGCCACACCAGTAGGGGACAGCCTGGTTATAATGTGGGATTCATGCTACATGCCGTGGGGCCACAGAGATGGGGAAGCCTCACCCGTGACCCAAAACCAAGCATCACCCTCTGAGCATTTGTTTTCCTCTAGCCATGGGCACAACTTCAACCGCAACAGAGCCACAGACTCTTTAGTGAAGGTCATTACTGCAGAGTTACACAGTTAAAACCACAAGGAAGCTGGAGATGAATTGTCGGGCTGTAGTGCTACTGGAGGAAGTTTTTCTTCAAGTGTGCATTTCACAGAAAATGCCCTCTCAGAACAGAGCGGGCAACACTGGAACAATTCACCTGTCAGGAAGCAGAGGAAAGAAAAGTTAGAAGTATCATGACAGGTGGAGAGATACTTTCAGATTAAACAGTAAAAAAGATACAAAGAAAGTGAGTGAAGGAAATGGTGAAAAATTGTATTTCAACAGAAGTCACAACCGTTCAGTATGTCAGAATGAGGCTTTTGCTGAGGTGCTGTGATATGGGATCAGGCTGCCCATGTTGAATTTTCTGGCCTGAGTATCTTCACATTTTTAATTAACGCATTACAGTGATGACACATCACAAAAAGCAACAGAGGTGAGACTTGCAGTTTCATCTGAGCTCTGAAGTAACACTAGCAGTGTGTTCACAATGATGACGTGAAGCCTAATTCTTGAATCTTGTATATGGGATTGGCAGCATCAACAAAATAAGATGCTAGCAGCCCATGGTGAGCTTTCTGAGGGGATCTGAGATGGGCTCAGGTTATGGCCTCATGGAACGATGAGGCACAATGGCACAACGTCGTTAACTGCAGAATTAAAATGGTGAAAGCGTAGGCAGGACTCAAGTGCTGGGGACCAAGCCGGAGCTCATTCAGTGCAGGGTGAGACAAGGAGAAAGCTGTGATTAAAAAAAAAAAAAAGAGGATAGAGGAGACAATAAAAGAAAGCTTCAGTAACAGGAAAGAGAAAACGGACCCTATTCCTCTGTGATAAGTTAAGAACTTGAAGTGGCGGCTGAAAGAGACATAAGTCATGTCATTTCTTGGAAACAGTGTATTTTATGCAGGATCTCTATGTAAAATGCTATGGAGACAAGGCAGGGACCTAGTAAGTGCTGTAGCTAGTTAAAGTTATCCCCAAGAGAGGGTATAATATCAACCAGAGTTAGCTACTTGGGTGTTATGTCTATACTATGGACAAAAATGTTTTTTTTTTCATCAGATGCCTCTCTAGATCAGTTAACCTCATCTGAAATCCTACTCAGCGCAAATGCAGATGCAATTTAACATGCTGTAAGCTAACCAGGGCCTCCTTTTCCTCATCTTATGTTGTCTCCAGGTTGACATAGAGAAGCAGGACAAAAAGTCAGCGAGCTTACTTCTGGCAGCGATGTTCTCTGATACGTTCTTTTCCTCAGTTATGTAATCCGCAAGTGATATGTTTCAGTATTTTCCACTATAAACGCACTAGAGCTTCCATGAGAAATCTACATAATCAAAGGATATTTTCTCCCTTCCACTCTTCAAAGTTAGCAAAAAAACAAACAAACCTGAAAACTATTTCTCGGAGGAGAAACAGACACAATGAAATAAATTACTTTTACAGCTTCTTCTTAAATTGTTAAATTATTAACAAGAACAGAAATTGGAAAGTAGCACCTTTAAAAAAAAAGGCTTTGGTGCATTAAAATAATGGGAGCTATAATTTTTAGAGCTGTATACAGTACAGTATGTACAGAAAAGTAATAGGTCTCTCCATTAATTTTTAAATCATTCTCCTTCCTTAGCCAAGGTGCTATTTTTCAGGCTGTATCCTTTGTATGGAAGCTATAATGTTGCCTGCTGTGCCAAAGAAAGAGGTGAGAAAAGAGAGAAATAAAGTCAGTAGGGGCCAAATCATGCTCCCACAAAATTAATAGGAGTTTGTTCCATTGTCTTCAATGGGTGAAACACATTGAAACACAAAAACTAGTAATTTTAGCTTCTGTAAATGTTGAGAAAATCAAGCATGTCACACAGTTTGGGGATGGAAGGCTGCCTGCTTGCATGTCTACATTAAGGTAACAAATTTACTTTCATTTAAAATAGTATTTCATAACAGTAGACAATAATTTTCTGATCATTTTCTCTTCTGCCTATAATGATGTAGCCTCGTCAAAAGGGAATTGGAATAGAAAATTCTAGGTAAAATATAAAGAATTAAGGAACTCTGAAGTAATAAGAGTGAGACAAAGGTGTGTTTTACGAATAAGAAAAATTCTGTATTTAATGCTTCTCCTTATTTTCACTCAAATAGCTCAAGTTGCTAATGTTATAGCTTTAACTACCCAGTTCCTATTGAAAAAAATGACAAGAAAGAATTAAGTTACTGTTCCATTTTTTTGAAAAGTCCATTTTTTTCAAAAGTGCAAAGCTAAATATATTTGCAAAGTTGGATGCAGCAGGGATCACTTAATTGACTCTGGTGGTCTTTCTAGCAAGTATAAGTCTAAAAACACTAAGCTCCGAGTGCTACAAACTTCTACACCCTCTTATTTTTAAATATATGAATCATTCCACTGACTTAGCTGGGATTTGCTTTTACATCTGAAGT